TCTGTCAGTGGTCTACTTTTCTACTGCACTGTTACTCATCTCTGCTCATTTTGCTGCCCTGCAGCTGCAGTTTTAGTTTCTCAGTCAGAATATCAAAATTTATGTTTTCAAAATAGTTTCTTTTAAAAACCACTAATGAGAAATGGCTGCCAATTTGTCAAATTGCTCTCAAGGAAAGTCGTCAGCAACTGAGCAAAATGTATAGCCACCAATACCAGTGGCCAGCAAATTATAGTCACCGTGGACCTTTATGCATCATGTCAAATACCAACCTTCAGCACCGGTGTTATAGATTTAGACCTGTGTGCTCACCCTTGCAGAGACTTGCCCTGAAATCTTTACGTTGTTACATGTTCCAGTCAGAATGGACCTACCAGTCTCTCTTAGTACAACCCACATTCTATGCTCACCCTTGCAGAGCATGCCCTGAAATCTTAACGTTGTTACATGTTCCAGTCAGAATATACCTAGCAGTCTCTCTTAGTACAACCCACATTCTGATATAGTAGAATAATAAAAAATGACCATTATAGAGTAACCTGGCAGCCACTTTCTTTCAACAGCTGAAAGAGCTACACAAAAACACAGACAATATCCCCTGATCGCAGTTGGTCCCTGTCTTTTACCCATCCTATCATCCTTCGTTCTATCGTGTGAACATTTATGTATGTTGGGCTTTTTTCACCTTGAGTCCCTGCTAACAGGTTAATCACCCTGAGTTGGTGTCTCTGTGCTCTTTGTGCTGTGGTGTCTCGGATGGTCACCCAAGTTTAAAACCCAGTCACCCTGCTACTCTAGCTGCAGACATGACAATGGCTGGTAAGGGCATTGCAGGTATTGCAGACATTATACTTTGGTGGCATTATCCCTATTCCCTGAAAAAAAGCTGATACATTTCCTTTAGAGCTAATCAGAGTTGCTGTAGCAGCACTCGTAGACAGTCAACCATTCAAAACCTCCTCTAGATGTTGGCTACAGAAATATAACTCTATTAACGTTATTTTATAATTTAGATTCTCTAAAACCAAGTAAAACAGAATTTTAGTCAAAATGTGAGTATGCGCTGCAGAGCAGAAGGACACGGAGATTGTGTGCAAACAAATAAATATTTTATACTCATCTCACCACAGACAAAACAACATCTGTAACATCTGTAGTAACTGTATGCAACAAAGATGGCAAACTCTAGGCTCCAAATGCTTAAAAGATATAAATATGAAAAATTCATGACAAAAATGAGACTAACTGGATTAAAACTTCATCCATTATACTGACTAAAATAACCAAATCACAATCAGGTGCCAAAATTAACAGTAGTGTCTCAGACACACACACACTCAGAATGAAATTATCACCAGTCTCAAGTGTATCTCCTCTGTCCATTTGGCTGTCTCTATGCGGGGAAGTGCTTGGTGCTGATATACAGCACTTTGAGCTCTGATTGAATTACACTGATGGGAACATCAATTACAGAGTATGATAGCAAAAAAAAATAATTTAACCAAGCACCTCAGATCACATTACAGCCTGCAGTGCGCTGAGCAGCTACCACCCCGTAGTATAAAATAAGTTCCATTCCACATTTTAAAACTTTTTGCTACATCATTTTCCCAGTGCTCTGCTGCATCTTACTTCGCTGTACACCTGCATTTATTTTAAATTTCAGATAAACTATACAGAAGTACAGAATATCCTGGCAAACAAAAACCTGTGACCTTATTATTGTGTAAGGTCTCATGTTTGTCCACTGCACCTGCATATTTGCAGCAATAAGCACATTTAAGTTTTTGATTTCTACTCCAAAGTACAGGAAAATTAGGGTATAAGATGAATGTATGAAATTTTATGTAGCTATTTATAGTTAGCCATGGTATTTATAGCTACACACTGTAGCTTCATGTTGATTAGGTTAATTTCTCTTAGCAATAAGATTCTGTAAAAAGCAGCCATCCCAACTGAATTTACTGAGCCTGCATTTATTCAGTTGTGCTTTGTATGATTATAAAATACATTTTAGTCAAGGTCAAGTCTGCAAAGTAATGAGTCTGGAACATGCATTTATAATGTATCACCATAGTCTAATACTGTTAGAACTGTTGACTGCACAAGCATTGTTTTTGCTTAAAAGAGGGAACCTTTTTTAAAAGGGAGGTTTCAATTTCTTTATAAGATTATCAATATGGTTATAAAAAGATACTTGGCCAACCAGCAGGGAGATTTGTATGCAGAGAATCTCGCCAGTTCAGTTCCTTCCGCGGTTTTTAGTTCCAAGCTGTCTTGTACAGACACCATGTTATTCATGAAACAGTAAATAATAATAATTCAATTTAAATAAATTCTGATAAGAAATATTATATTTGACTTTAAGGCTCACACTTACTGTGGAGCTACATGCAGGACAACACAGCACTTACCATTCTGTAAAACATGCAAGAATAATGTCCTTGTCACAGTGAGCGTGCAGCTCCACAAAGTTACTGGAAGGCAGAAAGTGCATCTGTGTGAATGTGCAGTAGAGTCAAAGTGGTAAATTTGGCAAGTGTAGTATTTTTGTTGATCTCTGTTGGCTCGCTACACCTACTGCAATTATTGCTTCTCTCAGAAGCCTTCTGCAGCTCTTTGAAAAAACATGGTTTCAGGTAGTGGGATGAATATGTGCGCATGTGTGTGTTTGTGTGTGGCTGCCACCCAAGGTTGTTCCGACAACATGCTGTCTTTTGAGATTCATTGCCTTAAGCAGTGATGATGCGCTGTCAGCAAGACATGCCAAGACTGCTGGCTGTAGCTCAAGATGAGGGCAAAAAAGGAAAGGAAGGAAGGAAAGAGACTTGAGCCAGATCCCATGATTTTGTTTACGCTGAATAAAAGTTTCATCCGATTTGAGAGTACTAAGTAATTGCAGAGCATCTTGATTCTGTTTGGTGTTTGAGATGAAAACCCCTGAATGTTTCCAGCTCAGCGTTGCCCAAAAATGATTGAAGTGTACAAATGTTATGCGGCGAACAACCAGTGGTAATAGTTTGCTCTTCCAAAAACCTGGTTCTCGGTGATCATGATTATGATTTAGTTGAATAGCCAAACAATTTAGGTAAAATGCTTCCTAAATGCACTGCTCATTTCCTTTGATGCATCAACAACATTTAAGTCTGCCAGTTTATAGATGTTACATAAGGGGCTTCAATGTCTGAAGTCTACTCAAGGATTTCTGGATGTGCCATGATCCGTGCACTGATGCAATAGAAGTTAACTGGGATATCTCAATTCTAGTAAATGTTTCTCAAACGGTCATGTGAGATTAACTTACATTGCCTGTCTCAGCAGAATTAATCACTCACTGTAAAAGGAACATTTGTTGTCATATTATAAACCACAGATATCACACAGTTCTTATATTTTAAACCAGAAACATACAAGGTGAAACAATGACAAAAAAAAAAAGAGTTCAGTGTTGACATTTAGCAGCACCTCAACAGCCTGCGGGTTAAACAGACATTTGACTAGAAAGTTGTTAGTTGTAATGCCAGGCGATTATAGTAAATGTCTGTAACTTAACAGAATGAGAAATACTTTTCAGCTGTTGAGGTACCCTTGAGCAAAGCATATAGCCTGCATCTGCACCGATAGAGCTGGTCAACAGCTCAGCTGCAAAACTGTATCAGAGAGACATGCTCTCACTGTATATGCATAATTAAGATGCAGAAAATGAACCATTTGCAGAGAAGACCCAACAGATACTGACTACAGTGATGATTAAGAACTTTCCTTGCTTTTTAAAAGCACATATCCCATTGTCCTTACATCTGATGTCAGAATTATTAAAACACACAAGACAAAACTATGACAAAATAAAGCAAATGATTAGATAATGGTAAAAAAAAATACTGTAATACAATGCAACATATAGTCTGTCAGAGGTAATGCTGCATTATGTGCTAACATTGTTGTATATCAGATTAAAACTGCATAGCAATTAGTAATATACAACGTGAACTTTCCAGCACACCCTTTATTCTCAAACTGAAACATCCACCCACTCAACAAACATGAACCAGTTATTTATTTATCTGCTACATTCTCAGAGTAAAAATGTAAATTCTGTTCTTTGTCACACAGAATTATTTGAACAAGGAAAACTAACCATATAATAAATGTAAAGTGGACAGCTAAATATCTCTCTCCATCATGTTACAGCCCACAGAATGATTTTCTGTGTGCTATGACTTTTTTAACTGTACTTTTTTCTTTTCACTTCTTCTTATCTCCCAGTCAGTTAAATTTGCTGCAGGTGACACAAAGCAAACACAGTGCATCTCACACAGCAAAATAAAACCTAAAACAATAAAACGTGCAATAAACTAATAAGGATAAACACTTTGTGAAGCCACTGCACACACACCACACCACACACACACACACACACACACACACACACCCACACACACGTGCATCCCGGTAGTGGTTAGGAGCTGAAACACACCCCCATGTGGACACACTGGTAAGTGAAGCCCCCCCGCCGACTACAGAGTGGAGAGCCAGAGGAGGGGTGGGCATGCGGTGTGAGGGTGTGTATGTGACAGCGTGTGCACGCAGGCTTGTTGAACAGTCACTCTGTTTGTGTTGTCACAAATAATTGGTCCACGGGGAGTGGTGGGGCTGTGCTGTTAGGGGCTCCTTCATCAAGCCAAAAACTTTCTGAGCGCCCTTTAGTTGTAACTGGCACCGTCGATTAGTGGCACCGCAGCTGGCGAACTCCGCGGAGCAGTCGCAACAGAGAGGAACACGAAAACCACTGGAACCCCTGGACATCCCGTGGACCCCAAAAAGGCTGGAGACGTATTTTACAGTCAGTGGGAAACCGGGAGGGGAAGAAGAGAGAGAGATGCGAGCAGTGCTGTTCTTTTGACAACCTTTTCAATGTGGAGCTGTGAAGCTTGAGCGCATCTATGTGTAAGCCTCTGTCCTCCCTCCCTCCCTTCCCTCTCTCTTCACAGACAGGGGCGGTCGTTCTCAGTCTGCGCACATATTCCACTTGGCCAGCATCACTTGGAGTCTACAGACACAGCGCTGATTGAAGAGCGGAGGGGAGCTCATTTTCAGAGCGCATGACTGTGTTAGAGGGGCTTCATTAGCCTGTGCCCCGGTCAGAGGCGGAGAGAGTGACAGTAAAGACATTTCAACCACGGCTTTAACAGTAAACAATCTATTAAAGAGAAGCGTGGGGCTGTGGGATTTTACCCAACTAGTCTTGCTTGACTTTTTCAAAGGGAAAGTGGTTTTATTTTTATCTTTGGGAAGAGGAATTCTATGGAATCGAACATCCGTGAGATTCCGCTGCATTACGCGTCTCTGTGCGTAAAATAAAAGTTTAACACACCAAGGAGATTACTGGAGAGGTTTGGGAGCTCAGAAAAAACTCCACACTACATCCTCCGGGAATTGTAAAGCTCATACCGGACGCCCACCGGAGACGGATATTTAACCTTTCAAGGCGTTTTGTGGAAAGGCTCGCAGGCGGGTTGGTTTAAGGGAGAGCCGAGGAATCTTGTTCGCTGAACCGGGAGGAGTGCGCGCAGCGCTGGGTTAGCAGACTTTCCCAAAGGACGGCGCCTCGGAGACAAGGTAGAGATACTGTAGGGATTAGTACATGTCTGCACAGCTACTACACATTTCTCTTTGTCAGGGTTGTATTATTTATATTTACTTTGCATCTTCTCTCTGTGCATTTCAAGAATGAAATGTGGGTTTGCGGACATCTCCACACAGGCAGTATTTACTCTGCTATGTGTCAGCCCCAAAGCTGATCATTGTAAAGATACCTCAGCGGTGACACATTTTGCACCTTTCTTTTATTTGCATCAGTAATATCTCCTTTTATGCAGGGAATAAAACCAACTACTACTACATGTCAGTATAAGCAAGTGTCATGCAGCGCACCCTGACATGAATGCAGGCACTAACTGAATGCGTTGTATCATGAAACTTTGATCACGGCGCTCTGCGTAATGCAACCTGTCAGTGCAGCCGAATCAGAGCGTTTATTCAGCGCCAGGCGTCGGAGGAAATCCTCATGTTTGGTCAGAGGAGTCACATTTGGGTCCATTAGCCTCTGACTCCATCTGCTTTTCATCCTTTTACTGTTAGACAAACGCGAGCACAGATAATGCAGGGGGTGCGTTTTAGGGAGGGTGCTTCAAACAGAAACAACAAAGAAAAGTGGTTATTTTTATAGGAATGGACCTATCGACCGCTCTCTGCTGCAGGGAAACTGTAATAACTGCACTGCTGTGACGGGCGGTGTGCGGGTGTTTGAGGACCAAAGTGCGTGACCCCACCTGTTGTAGTTAATGCTACATGAACGCTGCAGTGTAATCCTTAGTGCTCTGTCCTGACTACACTTGCTCCCGTGTTTCGCAGAGGAAGTTTGTGACGTTAAACTGCAGACAACCCTGTCAATCTCCAGTTGTCGACAAGCACACAGCCCCGCTTGTAGCTTTATAACCCACGATTAGTGATTGAATTATCCGCCCTTTAAGTTGAATGAAACGAGGTAGACTGTGCAGCGGAGGCCAAATTGTTCTGTGATATTGTTTTCACGGCTTACGGGGTTGGAAGAGACAAAGCTGAAGATGAAAAAACAGTTGACAGCACCTCTTTCTTTCTGATAACAGTCACTCAGCTGTCACCTCTTGTTTGTCATATATTTGTAGTCCGTTCCCGTCTGAGACCGGTTCTCCTCTCTCTTCCCCTGTTTTCTTTCTTAGGTTATGACGGAACTGAGCTGAACATGGAGCTTTTCTGGATTTTATTATTTTCTGGTGTCTGTCCTCTTGTCTGGGGCCAAGGAGTTTACGGTAAGGAACCTGATATTTACAAATATAATCCTATTATTACATCAGTGCATAGTTTATTAGTGCAGACTGAATGAGCTCTATTGCAACAGGATGTTAATTAGTTAAAATATTAGCCCCAATAAAGGCTTTCTCGGTGCATTACTGTGTCTTACTGTAATAAGAGGCAGTTTAACAAATGACCTTAAAGTACTAGGAGAACAGCAAATTAACTTGAAAGGAAGATCTTACTAGAAGTTGCAGGAGGCAGCTGGGAAAACCCACCTACTGCAAATCCAGTCTAATTAAATGTTTAGGCTGGTATAAATCTTTATGGTGAATATTCACATTAGACCTAAAACTAAGTGTTTCTTTACACTAAGTATGATCAGAGGATAAGTTCTTGTTTTAAGAGGACTGAACAAAGCTTAAAGGTCGGTTACAGTTTAACTTCCTACCATGTCTCAGGGCAGGCTACTGCACTCACCTCTCAGCAGAGCTCTCTGAAACCCGCCTCCCCTTGTCAGGCTGAACAGTCACACTGTGGTTTTGAGGATAAAGTGGAGATTTGTCCCCTCTTAAGGTTGCCTCACTCTACTACAGAGGCTCAGTTTCTTCACGCAGCCCTGCCAGCATCCTCTTGTCCCCTTGGGCAAGGCAAACACTCAAATGGGTCTGTCAGCTTTGATACTTTGGTTTTGATGTTTGAAGGCATGTGGTAGCCATTGAAAACAAGGTCTGTTTAGTCATAGTAGCATAGAGTGCTGTTGTCATAAGCAATCCTGCAGCCTGCCGTCGCCCTGACAAATGCTGACAATCTGTCATTTTCTGAAGCACAGAGGCCTGTGTACACGTTGTTGCCAACTAATCAGACTCGTACCACACTGATACTTCACACTGAGGCTGACATGTCAGTGTTAGTATAAACAAACGTGCATGGACAAAGCTCAAATCTTCACATAGTTTTGACCACCAGTCAGCACATTTTGAAGGATTATATCAGTGCCTTTCTGAACAGTGTATTTGTTTTTTTTCTGACCCTGCTGTATTTTCATGAACAATAGTCTGCAGACAGAGCAGCATCTGCGCACACTGACGGTGCTGGATGAGATTCAAAGAACTCTGTTTTTTCTCCACTATCTGTTTTTATGAATTGTCAAACCTTACAGTAAATAAAACATGTACCTGAGTTCTAGTCACATCACGTGTACTTATCTGGGATCAGTCTTAGCTGCAGGTGCAGGCTTCTCCCATCCTGATAAAGCCAGGTTTTACCGTATATCTCTTATGAACTCACAGCTAAATTACTTCCAAAATATTTCCAGCATACATATTTTTTTGTAGCAAAACAGTGTTAAATTATATGGAATCCAGATCTAACAAGTTACTTTTGATGCCAGTGGTCATTGTGCTTGTGCGTGTGTTAGTTTTCCCGGTCAGTTGCTTCCTCATGGACTGATCTAGTTACGCAGTCCTGCACAAGGCTCACATCTCCAGTTTGCCCTTGTGCATTCTCGTCCTCATTTATTTTTTCATAATAACCGTATGAAGCAATTTTGGGTTTTCTACAGGGTAATATACTGATTTTCATGAAGAATTTGTGCATCTGTCTCATGGGCTCTGTCACAAATATGCAGTGGGTTGAAGCAGATAGGTGTGCACTAAGTGCCAGTGATGAAGGATGCAGTGATCTTTTTTATATGACTTTCCCTCAGTCTTATAGTTTATTTGTCACATGTGCAGCAACCTTTCAGTCTCTGCTGAGGGACATAAAATCCCAAAGCTTTATGGGAATCTCTGGCCAACATTCACAGGCCCCACATTCCCAGGTGGAGGTGCTCAGCTGTACGTACCTGTGTAACAACCCTTTAATGCATCATTACTTAAAAAAGACTCACTCAGAATAAAACTAATTGTTGCACAATTTGCACAATTGCGGTAAGCAGCACGAGTAGGGAATATGAGGACGAGAGCCAACGAGTTGGCACGTTCGGTCGCTGTGTATGCAGATATGCTCAAAATGGTTTTCCTCACTTTGGAATTGTTTAGCACTTGTTCTAGCAGACAGATGCGACTCGGGATCCATCGGGAGCCGAGCAGTGAAAGCTTGCCTGATTGATGTCAGAGCTTTGGCGGCTGCGAGGTTCATTTACTGTAGCCTTCTCTGGGGTGTGTTTGCATGCGTGTGGTTTTTGTCAGCTCATGTCTGTGAATCTGTGTGTGATCGTGTACGTGAGTGTGAGTTCATGTGCCAAAACGCATGCATGAATATGAAGTGTGTGAACCTGTTGGTCTACGTACTGTATATGTGTGCGTGCATGTGTGCGTGGGACATTTTTGTGCAGCAGACACTTTTCTTCCCACTGCAACAGTTTGCTGGCTCAGCAGGGACCTGTGGATCAGTCACTGTTTCTCTTGCACGAGCGCAGTATTGATCGTGCTTCTTTGAAGGCTGTCAAAAATCTTGTAACACCTGTCCATCAAGTAGCAATTGGACAGACAAGTGCATCAAGGAACTATGATGGTATACGTCAAAGGAAGAGGGAAATGCTATAGTAGGGTTTGATATGCAGAGTTACACATATACTGTACATGTCTTTTTATAGCTCCTCTCCTCTCCTTTCCTCTCCTCTCCTCTCCTCTCCTCTCCTCTCCCTCCTCTCCCCTCCCTCCTCTCCACTACTCTGTGCATAATCTTTTTATATGCGTCTCCACAGACAGATCACAAACATCCCTGCATAAATATACTGTGTAGTGATTTTCAAGTTTCATTTAATCTGGATATACAGTAATCCCTGGCATTACAAGCATGATGGGGCTTTCACATGTGCCAACTCTCGACATAGTTAAGGATTAGGGGAGGTTCAAAACATTTCAAGATGGTTTTGGAGGATGTGACTCCTCATCTGAAGGAGAACACAGTTACCACACTGATACAGAAAAAGTGTAGCAGAACAAGTTTCTCTCCATCTTTGTGGTGCTGCGTCACATCACACCCTGTGAGGCAACAGAGTTCACATCAAATTATTGAGTGCACAACACCATTAGCTGGTGTTGAAGATGGGATCCGAACCACATTAACCTGCAATATGATGCTTAATTATGTGCTTGTTAACAGGAAATTTAATGAACCTAAATCTGTGATTTAGCTGTTTCTTAGATTTAAGCAAACCCTTGCTGCAGCAGGGGAGATGAGGCCATGTCACTGGCCACAGAATAAAACACTATAAGATATGTACAAAATGAAAAGGTTTAACATTGTATGCCTAAATTTCACTGTTGTGAAACACAAGTTAAATTACACACAGAGCCGTGCCGCTGTTGACTGAGACTGTTTCAACTCTCAAATTTAATCACTCACACCTGGAACTGCAGATCATAGACCATAGGCCCAGAGCATCTAGTGTGAAAAGCGACTGCCCCTTTTAAGTGCACAAAGGGTCCTCACACCTGTGTTATGGGGTCTCCTCTTATTCCCTTTCAGAACTCCAGTGAGCTGCAGCACTAGACCTGGAGTCTTCTAGATGTGCTTATACATTTAGCAGTTTAATGCACTGTCATTAATTGAAAATGACTAGAATTTACCCCACTGTGGCCAAGCAGCTCCTAACAGACCACTCTGGTTGACCTCTGTAGGCTAGCCTAATTAAATAGGAACCACTCCATCTTTTGTTTCTGTGCAATACTTCCCTGCCACATACAGTAGAGATTGCTACTGCTACACCAAAAACCTGATAACCATTTCTTTTCTGAGCAGTGCACCTAGGCATCTTGTTGTAGCTTCTAGATGTGAGAACTCTGGTGCGTAATGGCAAGTCTTGTTTTCCTTCAGGTAAGTAAGGAAAAGAAGCAGAAGGGAGACTTGTGTCACTGTCTGCACAGGGCATCTATTCAATGGCGCAATAATACATGTCAGAGTAAAACATTTTCCAGACATGAAACCTCTATCTTATAGCTGTAGACTTTGCATATTTTTACATATTTTCAACTAGGATTACCTCAACAAAACACTGTTCTCACATCTTAAAACTTAATCTAGAGTAAATACTAAATCAGGATCAGAAGATCATCAGTAGGCTACAAGTCATACTTCTTTTTTTTACTCACACATAATGTAGTGATTTCTACTTTTTTTATAGCATAATTAACACCAGCATGATAAAAAGAAGTACATAATTATGTATAGCAACTAAGTACAAGCACCGTAGTCAGTCTGTAAATGAGAAGAATAAACAATAAAACAGTCAAAATCATAATCTCCAGTGATCTGAAACAATAGCAGGAACAATTAGAAATCACATCATGTTAAAAATATTATGAATTGGAAGAATATATGTATGAGGGTATATGTTCTTTTAACCACTTCTATTTCAAATGTACAGTAAGTACAAGAGTCAAATATAAAACTAGAATTAAATGCAAAGTAATAATTCAGATGCAGAGTTTTTCAAATGATGTTACAGAATAGCTCAATCTCACGATGCTGTTCAACTCCTGGAATAATAAAACCATGGTTAACATCAATTTTTAATAAATTCATTATGTCATATTTATGACCACAGGTTCTGGGAAAACATGCAGGACAGGAAAAACTGCAAGACAAAGAGTTGGCTGCATGAGAGAGAGGGATGGGGAATCCCACACTTTTCAGAATCCAAAACAGCACACAGATTTACAGTAACATCACTTTGAAGGTGTTGCCTTGGGAAGAATGAAATGCTCGGAATATGTTGCTTGTTTTCCATTTGCATGTATGTGTCGACAAACACCCGACATTTCAGCATCACTTTAGTGTGGAGCTTTACTCGCTGCAGCACATTCTCCTGCCATGGCACATGGGGTGAAAGCTGGTGACCTAGAAAGAGATCAGTCCAGGTTTAAATGGCCTGGCCACGAGGCTCCCCTGTGACTTTAACTCTTCCTCTCCCCACATCAGCACTTTTTGTTTGTGCCTCTTTTAAGTCTCTTGTTGCAGAGTTTATTTTGGATGCTGCATATTGCCCTTTTCTAATAAGCATTCATAA